CTCATCCTCCTGCTCCTTCTTCTCCTCTTCCTCTTCGTAGATCCGTAGCCATAGAGGGGATTCATTTTCGCTCGTTCAGTTCGCAGCCCGAGCATTCTTCGCGCTGCGCCGAGCACCACCACGATCTCCGCACGGCAATGAAGATCCAGAAGTCTTCCCCGGAGCAGCAGCAGGAATTCTTGCGCTCGCTCAAGTGCGAAGTTTCCTGCGAGGCCGAGCACGTGATGCCAAAGCCTGGCGCGAACACCCCAGACCCGTGCAGGGCGGAGGGGTCCATCGAGACCAGCAAGATCGCGGACATGATCATCGCGGGCAAGACTCCGACGCCGTCCGAGGTGTTGGCGTACTTCAACGGGCAGCTCAAGGAGCGCATCTGCTTCCTGGACGGCGGCATGGGCACGCGCATCCAGGCAGAGAACCTCCAGGAGGAGGACTACCGTGGAGAGCGCTTCAAGGACTTCAGCATGATCGATGCGAACGGCGTGCCGGTTTCTCTGAAAGGCAACAACGACCTGCTCTGCTTCACCAAGTCTGACATGATCAAGGACATCCACGCAGAGTACTTCAAGGGCGGCTCGGACATCTGCGAGACCAACACCTTCAACGGCACCTCCATCTCCCAGGGCGAGTACAAGATGCAGGACATCGTCTACGAGCTGAACAAAGTGGGGGCGGAGCTTGCCAAGAAGGCGGCCGCTGAGGTGACGAAGGAGGAGCCGCACAAGCCTCGCTTTGTGGCCGGTGCCATTGGCCCCACGAGCAGGACGCTGTCCGTGTCTCCCAGCGTCGAGGACCCGTCTTTCCGCAACGTGACGTGGGACGAGCTGGTCGATAGCTACAAGGAGCAGGTCAAGGGCTTGGTCGATGGCGGCGTGGACATCTTGATGATCGAGACCATTTTCGATACCCAGAACTCGAAGGCGGCGATCTTCGCGGTGGACGAGTACTTCATCGAGACGGGCAAGGAGCGTCTGCCGGTCATGCTGAGCGCCACTATCGTGGACAACAGCGGCCGCACCCTGTCCGGCCAGACTATCGAGGCGTTCTTCGTGAGCGTCAAGCATGCCAAGGCGTTCACTGTAGGTATCAACTGCGCGCTCGGGGCTGCGCAGATGAAGAAGTTCTACAAGACGCTCGTGGACATGAACCCTGGGTGGTGCCACGTCTACCCCAACGCCGGCCTTCCGAACGCTATGGGCGGCTATGACGAGGACCCAGAAATCTTCTCCACGAACATCTACGACTATGCCAAGGACGGTTTGCTGAATTTCGTTGGTGGATGCTGCGGCACGTTCCCGTCGCACATCGCCGCAGTGGCCAAGAAGGTGAAGGATTGCCCGCCGCGTAAGCTTCCTGAGCTGCCTAAGTACCCATCAATGCAGCTGTCGGGCTTGGAGCCCTGCATCCTGGGAGAGGACAGCGGGTTCCAGTGGGTCGGCGAGCGCTGCAACTTGATGGGCTCGGCCAAATTCAAGAAGCTCGTCGACGCCTACAAGTGGGACGAGGCCATGGATGTGTGCCTGGCCCAGTGCGAGAAGAAGGCCGACATCCTGGACTTCAACTTCGACTCTGACTTGATCGATGGCCAGTCGGCCATGGGTAAATTCATGCGCCTGTGCGTCACCGAGCCAAACGTAGCGAGACTGCCATTCATGATCGATTCTTCCAAATGGCCTGTGATAGAGGAGGGTCTTAAGTGCGTCCAGGGCAAGAGCATCGTGAATTCGATCTCCTTGAAGGTCGGCGAGCAGGAGTTCCTGAGGCAGGCGAAGCTGTGCATGCGCTACGGTGCCGCCGTGGTTGTCATGGCATTCGATGAGCAGGGCCAGGCAGCCACGCTGGAAGATAAGGTACGCATCTGCCAGCGCAGCTACAAGCTGATGCGTACGGAGCTTGACTTCCCTCCTGAGGACATCATATTCGACTGCAACGTGCTCACCATCGCGACTGGCCTTCCCGAGCACAACTCCTACGGCATCGACTTCATCAACGCGGTCGCAGAGATCAAGCGCACGTGCCCTTGCGTCTCGTTCAGCGGAGGCCTCAGCAATTTGTCCTTCTCTTTCCGCGGCCTCAACTCGGTCCGCGATGCCATGCACACCGTCTTCTTGTACCACGCGATCCCGAAGGGTCTCAACATGTCCATCGTGAATCCGGGAGGCCTGCCGCGGTACTCCGACATTGACGAGAAGACCAGAGCGTTGTGCGAGGAGGTGATCTTGAACAAGTCGGCAGACGGGCAGCACGTAGAGCGTTTCCTCGAGTTTGCAGAGAGCGCGAAGAACCCCCCAGCGGCTCCAGCACCTGCTGCGGTGGAGCCGCCCATCAAGATTGCGAAGTCCACCCCAGAGCAGCAGCAAGCGGCCCTGCGTTCCCTCAAGTGCGAGGTCTCTTGTGTTGCTGAGCACGTGATGCCAAAGCCTGGCGCGAACACCCCAGACCCGTGCAGGGCGGAGGGGTCCATCGAGACCGGCAAGATCGCGGACATGATCATCGCGGGCAAGACTCCGACGCCGTCCGAGGTGTTGGCGTACTTCAACGGGCAGCTCAAGGAGCGCATCTGCTTCCTGGACGGCGGCATGGGCACGCGCATCCAGGCAGAGAACCTCCAGGAGGAGGACTACCGTGGAGAGCGCTTCAAGGACTTCAGCATGATCGATGCGAACGGCGTGCCGGTTTCTCTGAAAGGCAACAACGACCTGCTCTGCTTCACCAAGTCTGACATGATCAAGGACATCCACGCAGAGTACTTCAAGGGCGGCTCGGACATCTGCGAGACCAACACCTTCAACGGCACCTCCATCTCCCAGGGCGAGTACAAGATGCAGGACATCGTCTACGAGCTGAACAAAGTGGGGGCGGAGCTTGCCAAGAAGGCGGCCGCTGAGGTGACGAAGGAGGAGCCGCACAAGCCTCGCTTTGTGGCCGGTGCCATTGGCCCCACGAGCAGGACGCTGTCCGTGTCTCCCAGCGTCGAGGACCCGTCTTTCCGCAACGTGACGTGGGACGAGCTGGTCGATAGCTACAAGGAGCAGGTCAAGGGCTTGGTCGATGGCGGCGTGGACATCTTGATGATCGAGACCATTTTCGATACCCAGAACTCGAAGGCGGCGATCTTCGCGGTGGACGAGTACTTCATCGAGACGGGCAAGGAGCGTCTGCCGGTCATGCTGAGCGCCACTATCGTGGACAACAGCGGCCGCACCCTGTCCGGCCAGACTATCGAGGCGTTCTTCGTGAGCGTCAAGCATGCCAAGGCGTTCACTGTAGGTATCAACTGCGCGCTCGGGGCTGCGCAGATGAAGAAGTTCTACAAGACGCTCGTGGACATGAACCCTGGGTGGTGCCACGTCTACCCCAACGCCGGCCTTCCGAACGCTATGGGCGGCTATGACGAGGACCCAGAAATCTTCTCCACGAACATCTACGACTATGCCAAGGACGGTTTGCTGAATTTCGTTGGTGGATGCTGCGGCACGTTCCCGTCGCACATCGCCGCAGTGGCCAAGAAGGTGAAGGATTGCCCGCCGCGTAAGCTTCCTGAGCTGCCTAAGTACCCATCAATGCAGCTGTCGGGCTTGGAGCCCTGCATCCTGGGAGAGGACAGCGGGTTCCAGTGGGTCGGCGAGCGCTGCAACTTGATGGGCTCGGCCAAATTCAAGAAGCTCGTCGACGCCTACAAGTGGGACGAGGCCATGGATGTGTGCCTGGCCCAGTGCGAGAAGAAGGCCGACATCCTGGACTTCAACTTCGACTCTGACTTGATCGATGGCCAGTCGGCCATGGGTAAATTCATGCGCCTGTGCGTCACCGAGCCAAACGTAGCGAGACTGCCATTCATGATCGATTCTTCCAAATGGCCTGTGATAGAGGAGGGTCTTAAGTGCGTCCAGGGCAAGAGCATCGTGAATTCGATCTCCTTGAAGGTCGGCGAGCAGGAGTTCCTGAGGCAGGCGAAGCTGTGCATGCGCTACGGTGCCGCCGTGGTTGTCATGGCATTCGATGAGCAGGGCCAGGCAGCCACGCTGGAAGATAAGGTACGCATCTGCCAGCGCAGCTACAAGCTGATGCGTACGGAGCTTGACTTCCCTCCTGAGGACATCATATTCGACTGCAACGTGCTCACCATCGCGACTGGCCTTCCCGAGCACAACTCCTACGGCATCGACTTCATCAACGCGGTCGCAGAGATCAAGCGCACGTGCCCTTGCGTCTCGTTCAGCGGAGGCCTCAGCAATTTGTCCTTCTCTTTCCGCGGCCTCAACTCGGTCCGCGATGCCATGCACACCGTCTTCTTGTACCACGCGATCCCGAAGGGTCTCAACATGTCCATCGTGAATCCGGGAGGCCTGCCGCGGTACTCCGACATTGACGAGAAGACCAGAGCGTTGTGCGAGGAGGTGATCTTGAACAAGTCGGCAGATGGGCAGCACGTAGAGCGTTTCCTCGAGTTTGCAGAGCGTGTGAAGAACCCCCCAGCACCTGCTGCGGTGGAGCCGCCCATCAAGATTGCGAAGTCCACCCCAGAGCAGCAGCAAGCGGCCCTGCGTTCCCTCAAGTGCGAGGTCTCTTGTGTTGCTGAGCACGTGATGCCAAAGCCTGGCGCGAACACCCCAGACCCGTGCAGAGCAGAGGGCTCCATCGAGACCGGCAAGATCGCGGACATGATCATCGCGGGCAAGACTCCGACGCCGTCCGAGGTGTTGGCGTACTTCAACGGGCAGCTTAAGGAGCGCATCTGCTTCCTGGACGGCGGCATGGGCACGCGCATCCAGGCAGAGAACCTCCAGGAGGAGGACTACCGTGGAGAGCGCTTCAAGGACTTCAGCATGATCGATGCGAACGGCGTGCCGGTTTCTCTGAAAGGCAACAACGACCTGCTCTGCTTCACCAAGTCTGACATGATCAAGGACATCCACGCAGAGTACTTCAAGGGCGGCTCGGACATCTGCGAGACCAACACCTTCAACGGCACCTCCATCTCCCAGGGCGAGTACAAGATGCAGGACATCGTCTACGAGCTGAACAAAGTGGGGGCGGAGCTTGCCAAGAAGGCGGCCGCTGAGGTGACGAAGGAGGAGCCGCACAAGCCTCGCTTTGTGGCCGGTGCCATTGGCCCCACGAGCAGGACGCTGTCCGTGTCTCCCAGCGTCGAGGACCCGTCTTTCCGCAACGTGACGTGGGACGAGCTGGTCGATAGCTACAAGGAGCAGGTCAAGGGCTTGGTCGATGGCGGCGTGGACATCGAAGATGCCTACGGCGAGTCACCACCGCCCCCTGTTTTTCTGGCCATGCTGATGTGGCCAAGCGTTAGGCCAAAACTTGTCCAAGCTGCTGGAATGCTTCTGTGTTCCCCCGCCCGTTGTGGAATCCCATTGGAGGAACACTTAGAGGAGGAGGAGGAGGAAGAGGAGGAGGAGGAGGTGGAGGAGGAGGAGGAGGAGGAGGAGGAGAAGGAACAGGAGGAGGAGGAGGAAGAGGATGAGGAGGAGGTGGAGGAAGAAGAGGATGAAGGAAGAGACGGAGGCTTCCTGATGCCCTCTTGGGGGCCTTCTGGGGCTTCTTGGGGGCCTCGATGGGGCCTCTTTGGGAGCCTCTTGGGGGCTACCTGGGGGCCTCTAAAGGCTCTCTTGGCCTTCGGTTGCCATCTTGGGGCCCTATCTGGGCAGTCGTGGGCACCTCTTTGGGCGCTTGAGGGCCGCGTTGGGGGTCTACAGGGCCGTCTTGGAACCGTCTTGGGAACGCCTGAAGGCCCTTTTGGGCCATCTTGCGGGCCTCTTGGGCCGTGTCGGGGCGATTCCTGGGACATACAGGACGTCTTGGAGCTTCGGAAGCCCGCAAAGGCGAGAACGCCAAAAAACCATTGAAGCACATAATCAAAATACATAATGTTCGTTTCTTCGGCCCTTCTGGAGGTCGTCAATGGGGACTCTTGGGGGCCTCGTGGGGGCCTCTTGGGCCGTCTTGGGCCATCTTGGGGCCATCTTGGGCCGTCTTGGGTGTATCTTGGGCCGTCTTGGAGACCTCTTGGGGCCATCTTGGGGTCTCTGGTGGCCGTCTGACCCATATTGGAGGCCATCTTAGCCGTCTTGGAGGCAGTCGTGGGGTAATTTGGGGACATCTTGAACGAGCTTTTCTTTGACGGCCAGGTATTTCGGGTGGCCAACGTGACCGGCCGAGACCCCACTGGGAACCTCAGAACAAAGACTCGAGCCTCTTGCAAGTTTGGTACGCCGCGCACTCTGGTGCCAGACCACAGGGGGCGTCGGATGACAGAAAGCGCGCGTAGCGTGCGATCCGTTTGTTGGGAGACATGAAACTAGGGGGGAGTTTGAGAGGTTTGGCAGGCATTTCCCCATGACCTAGTAGCCAGAATTGCGATTTTGCTCGGGACATCCTTAAGGATAGCTCTCGAAAGGCCTCAAGATGGCTCAACATAGCCCAACAGGATGGTTCTAAGATGCCCTGGTTCCGCTCAGCACCTGTCAATTTTGCTAGGGACACCCTCACACAAATGAGATGTTGCCGACATCGGTCTTGCCCATCATGGCGATTTCGTTAAGGCCATCCTCACACCACTGAGATGTTGTCGATGTCGTCTTGGTCTCGGTCTTGCCCCACATTGCGATTTCGCTAAGGACACACACGCACACATGAGATGTTGTCGACACCACTCTTGCCCAAATGGCGATCTCGCTAGGGACATCCTCACAAAACTGAGATGCCGTCGACGTCATCTTGGTCTCGGTCTTGCCCAAAATTGCAATGTCGCTAAGGCCATCTTCAAGCAACACGATGTCGTCGACGTCGTTCCCCTTTCCCCCAAACTGGCGATTCTGCTCAGGATATTCTTACAACAGGTGAGATGTTGTCGACGTCGTCTTGGTATCGTTCCAAGTCTGCCCACGAGGCTCCCACTCGGACTCCAAGACGGCTCCGGAGGGCCCAGACACGGCCCGAGAGTCTCCCAAGACTGCCCAAGAGCGACCCACGACTCGCCAAGCAGGTTGGAACAGCCAGGCGGGGTAAACTGGCCAAGCATATCGTAACGGCCAGACGGGCTGCAACGGTCAGGCGGGTTCAAACGGCCAGGTGCCTTGAAATGGTCAGGCGGGGTTAAGGCGAGCTAAACGGCCAGGCGGGTTGAAAGGGCGAGGCGGATTGAAACGGCGAAGCGGGCTAGAACGGCCAGGCGGTTTACAACAGCTAGGCGGGTTGACACGGCCAGGCGGGTTAAAAGGTCAAGGATGCCAGCGCGGCCAGGAGGGTGAAATTGGCCAAGCAGGTTAAACCGGCCAGGTGATTTAGAAAGGGCAGGCAGGCGGGTTAGAACGGCCAGGCGGGCTAAAACGACCAGGTGGTTTGAAACTGCCAGGTGAGTGAAGACGGCCAAGCAGTTTCAACAAGACAGGCGAGTTAATGGCCAGGCGGGTTTCAACGGCCAGGCGAAAGTGCCAGGTGGGTTACAACGGTCAAGGATGTCAGCGCGGCCAGGCGGGGTTAAATGGCCATGCTGACCAAAACAGTCACACGGTCTAAATGGCTATGCGATTTGAAGCGGACACTCGGCTCAAGACGGCTCAAGAGGGCCCGAAGACAGCCCGAGAGTCTTCCAAGACTGCCCAAGAGGGTGCCAAGATTCCCCAAGGAAGCGACAAGGGCGAGGGGAAGAGAGGACGTAAGAGGAACACAAGTTCGCCAAGGGCGAGGGTAAGAGGGCGACAAGGGCAAGGGGAAGAGAGGGACAAGGAGCCAGCGATTTCGCGCCATCAAAGGTAAGTTGCGCTGTCCGCGCCCGTGTCAATCAGGTCTAGTGGCCGTCAGCCCAATCCGCCACCGTGCCGTGCTTGTGGACCAAAGGCCTCCCTGATGTCTCTTGGGGTAATTACCTTGCGGCTTATTGGGGGCCTTTTGAAGGCCTCTTTTGACTCTCTTGGAGGTCTCCTGGGGGCGTCTTTGGGAGCTTGTTGTCTCTTGGGTCTCTTGGGGCCCGCTTGGGGCCCCATGGAAGTCTCAAAGGTTATTTTTAGGTTTACGGTTCTTAATGTTTTTGTATGTTTTTGTTTTGTTTTTGTTGGGGTTGTTTAAGGGGTCTCTTGGGTCGATCCTGGTTACGTCCTCAGCGCCCGTAAGACTGAAGAAGGCGAGCATGTTCAGATCACACAGAGACCAACGTGGTGTATTCTCAATGGTTTCAGCTTCTCGGGTCGGCCCCCGGGGGCATCGAAGACGGCCCAATGTGCGCTCAAGAGGGCTCCAGGACGGGCTCAGAGACCATCTAAGGCTACGTTGGAAGCATGAGATCCCAACCACGCTCCCGAGTCCTTCGTGCGTCGTGCCTTCCTCTCTCCTTTCATGCATCTTCTCCCTCTCTCTCTCTCTCCTCATTGTTCGGTGCTTCTCGAGTAAGGCTACCAGTGCCCCAGTCTGGCCGTCACGGGACCCCCCAATTCCCATCAATTGGGAAGCTGGCAGTTTTCAGAGTGAGAGTCTGAGTCACTTGCTTCACTCTGCGTCCAGTATCGGCCTGGGCTTCGTGCTCGTACGGCACCTTGACCTTGACCTTGCTCCCGAGCTCTCTGAACAAGTGATGCGGGCCGCCCCGAGAGCACCCAGGGGCGCATGAGCGTGCTCGTGCAATGGGGGCCCGGGCCCCTTCAGGAAACTCGGAGGAGCCTGAGGACGTTCCACTCAGTGCCTACGGCACGGTGGCGGATCCTGATGATCGAGACCATCTTCGACACCCAGAACTCGAAGGCGGCGATCTTCGCGGTGGACGAGTATTTCATAGAGACGGGCAAGGAGCGTCTGCCGGTCATGCTGAGCGCCACCATCGTGGACAACAGCGGCCGCACCCTGTCCGGCCAGACTATCGAGGCGTTCTTCGTGAGCGTGAAGCATGCCAAAGCGTTCACTGTAGGTATCAACTGCGCGCTCGGGGCTGCGCAGATGAAGAAGTTCTACAAGACGCTCGTGGACATGAACCCTGGGTGGTGCCACGTCTACCCCAACGCCGGCCTTCCGAACGCGATGGGCGGCTATGACGAGGACCCAGAAATCTTCTCCACGAACATCTACGACTATGCCAAGGACGGTTTGTTGAATTTCGTTGGTGGATGCTGCGGCACGTTCCCGTCGCACATCGCCGCAGTGGCCAAGAAGGTGAAGGATTGCCCGCCGCGTAAGCTTCCTGAGCTGCCTAAGTACCCATCCATGCAGCTGTCGGGCTTAGAGCCTTGCATCCTGGCAGAGGACAGCGGGTTCCAGTGGGTTGGCGAGCGCTGTAACTTGATGGGCTCGGCCAAATTCAAGAAGCTCGTCGACGCCTACAAGTGGGACGAGGCCATGGAAGCGTGCCTGGCCCAGTGCGAGAAGAAGGCCGACATCCTGGACTTCAACTTCGACTCTGACCTGATCGATGGCCAGTCGGCTATGGGTAAATTCATGCGCCTGTGCGTCACCGAGCCAAACGTAGCGAGACTGCCATTCATGATCGATTCTTCCAAGTGGCCTGTGATAGAGGAGGGCCTCAAGTGTGTCCAGGGCAAGAGCATCGTAAATTCAATCTCCCTGAAGGTCGGTGAGGAGGAGTTCCTGAGACAGGCGAAGCTGTGCATGCGCTACGGTGCTGCCGTGGTTGTCATGGCATTCGATGAGCAGGGCCAGGCAGCCACGCTGGAAGATAAGGTGCGCATCTGCCAGCGCAGCTACAAGCTGATGCGTAGGAAGCTTGACTTCCCCCCTGAGGATATCATATTCGACTGCAACGTGCTCACCATCGCGACTGGCCTTCCTGAGCACAACTCCTACGGCATTGACTTCATCAACGCGGTCGCAGAGATCAAGCGCACGTGCCCTTGCGTCTCGTTTAGCGGGGGCCTCAGCAATTTGTCCTTCTCTTTCCGCGGCCTCAACTCGGTCCGCGATGCCATGCACACCGTCTTCCTGTACCACGCGATCCCGAAGGGTCTCAACATGTCCATCGTGAATCCCGGCGGCCTGCCGCGGTACTGCGACATTGACGAGAAGACCAGAGCGTTGTGCGAGGAGGTGATTTTGAACAAGTCCTCTGATGGCAAACACGTGGAGCGTTTCCTCGAGTTCGCAGAGCTCGTCAAGAACCCGCCCAAGGGTGCTGGTGCGGCCCCCGGCGAAGCCGCGGGAGGCAACACAGGCAAGGACGCGTGGCGCAACGGAACCTACACCGAGCGCCTGCACCACGGACTGATCAATGGCATCGACAAGTTCATCGATGGAGACGTGGAGGAGGCCCGCGCGGACCTGAAGGTGCCTCTGCATGTCATCGAGGGGCCGCTGATGCAGGGCATGGGCATCATCGGCGACCTCTTCGGCGCGGGCAAGATGTTCCTCCCGCAGGTCATCAAGAGCGCCCGCGTGATGAAGAAGGCGGTGGCTTACCTGACACCCTTCATGGAGGAGGAGAAGCGCGCAGCGGCCCTCGCAAACGGAGAAGACCCTGACCAGCCGAAGTGGAACGGAGTTGTGCTGATGGCGACCGTAAAGGGCGACGTGCACGACATCGGCAAGAACATCGTTGGCGTTGTCTTGGGCTGCAACAACTACAAGGTGATCGACATGGGAGTTATGGTTCCTTGCGAGAAGATCCTGGAGAGGGCGGTCCAGGAGAGGGTTGATGTCATAGGCCTGTCTGGTCTTATCACGCCCTCGTTGGATGAGATGGTGTACGTGGCTGAGCAGATGCAAGCCAAGGGGCTGAAGATGCCGCTCATGATCGGAGGAGCTACCACATCGAAGCGCCACACAGCCGTCAAGCTCGCGAAGAAGTACGATAATGGCGTCATCCACGTGCTGGACGCTTCTCGGAGCTGCACTGTGGTGAGCAGCGTCCTGTCCAGCGAGAAGCAGAATTACCTGGAAGACATCAAGGATGAGTACACCGAGATACGGGATGAATATTACGCTACCCTGATCGATAAGAAGTGGAAGACCCTGGCATTTGCGCAGGAGAAGAAGCCCAAGATAGACTGGTCGAAGATCCCACCGAAGCCCAGCTTCCTTGGGAACCTCTGCATCAAGAATCACCCGATAACCGAGCTCATTGAGTACATCGATTGGACTCCCTTCTTCCAGGTGTACCAGCTTCGAGGCAAGTACCCCAACCGCGACTACCCCGCTATCTTCAAGGACGAGCGCGTAGGGCCGGAGGCCAAGAAGCTGTTCGCAGAGGCCAAGGAGATGCTCGACTGGATAGTTAAGGAGGACATTCTGAAGGCCACTGGTGTGGTGGGCATCTGGCCAGCAAATTCAGTGGGCGACGACATCGAGGTCTACTCCGACGACGAGCGCACCACAGTTTCGTGCAAGTTTTACGGCCTCAGGCAGCAGCTAGATATGGGAGAATCCACGTACTGGTGCCAGAGCGACTTCATCGCCCCGAAAGGTGAGGCCCCCGACTACATCGCAGCGTTCGCGAACACTGGAGGTTTGGGCTGCCACGAGCAAAGGAAGATCTTCGAGGACAAGGGCGAGATTGACAAGGCCATCCTCCTCGAGGCGCTCGCAGACCGCCTGGCCGAGGCCTTTGCAGAGCTGATCCATCTGAAGATCAGGACCACGCTGTGGGGCTACGCGCCAGATGAGAAACTGTCCCTGGAGGATCTGCTGAAGGTTCGGCGGAGGCAGGGGGGGTGGATGGCCGCAGGGCGGGCACTACACGTATTCGCCGGGGGGCCTCGTCGCAGACGTGGGCACTCGGAGCCCCTGGATACGTGTAGCGCTCGCCCTAGGCTGACCGCTCCTGTTGGTGCCGCCGGAAGGTGCGGTACCAGGGCATCCGGCCCGCTCCCGGCTACCCCTCACAGCCGGACCACCGCGAGAAGAAGACGATGTGGGACCTCCTGGACATAGATCGCCTGACAGAGGGCGAGCTGACCCTCACGGAGTCGTACATGATGCTGCCCGGCGCCTCGGTCTCGGCGCTGGTGTTCGCCCACCCAGAGGCGAAGTATTTCTCCGTGGGCCAGGTGAACAAGGACCAGGCGGGGCTCCGCCACAGAATATATATATATATATATATACAGGCACCCTCCACTGTATTGTTCCTGTGCCTCAGGGGAGGGTGGAGGTGTATAAATCACCTCTGAGAGCCAGCGACTTTATACACCGCTCCCTCCCTGAAGATGCATGCAAAGTTCGTCGGAGGGTGTCTGTGTAAATATTTTCGTGGCGAAGGGGCGTTCCAGAAAAGGCCTCGCCTTCGAGGGGGTCCTGAAGTGGAGACCTCTCCTCTCCCCGGCGGAAGGCGAAAGGCCCGCGGCAGCTGGTGGAAGCAGAACGGCGGCAGGTCCGCCGGCGGAAGGCCAGCGCAAGTAAAGCGAAATGCCCCGTCTAGATGTAAGTCGGGCATGTCCACCAACAGGAGGAACATTCAATAATAGCCAAAACAAATAGTCAGGGGAACATGTTCCGACTAGTTTTTGATTAGGTTGGATATTTTTTAGAAATTAGATGTTTTAAATGTTTCTTCCAACATCCGCCTATGGGAGGACAGTCCCATGCCCGACCTAACCCGACTAGGTGCATTTTGTTTTGGGTTCTGGGTTTCTGATGCCCGCCAGGTGGAGTCGTACTCGGCGCGGCGCGGCGAGGGCGGCGTCGAGGGCACCGAGCGGTGGCTCGGCAGCACCGTCCTCGGGTACGAGAAGAAGTGAGATGGCCTTGCCGCCCCGGCGTCCTGGTTCGGCGGCGAGCGAGGGGGTGAATCGGGAGCCTTGAGACGGGGGTCAATGCAAACGGGGGTCAGCCAGGGCGCCAGATCCTGCAGGATCCTGCGAAGACCCCCTTCTGGCTGACCCGGGTTAGCGAGCCGCTCGTGGCCGCGAGGCGGCCGCGCATATTGGCTGACCCTGGTTTGCGAAGATCTGCGTTGCAGTTTTTTTCTTGCATTTCAGTTTTTGGTTTCCTGCTGACCTGGGTCTGGATTGACCCGGGTCAGAAGATCCCCGAGTGAAGCGAGAAGGAGAAGGCCTTCTCAGAAGGCGGCGGGACTTCTCTCAAGCCCTCGTGCCTTCTGAGAGGTTTTTGGTGTCTTCGGGGAAGGCCTGGGAAACTCCTCACAAGGCCGGGGGACTTCCGAGACTTCTGAGAGGGCCCGCCCCTTCTCGCTTCCCCTCCTCGCTCGCCGCCAGCCGGTGGCTCCGTCTCTCCCGCAGTCGAAGGAGAAAACAAAAACATAAACATAAACTTTTGGCGCTCCGCGCGGATTTCTCGGATCCGCGCGGGCCCCCCCTGGCGGCGCCTTCGACGCCGCCCCTGGCGCGCTCCGCGCGCCAGGGAGGGGGGGCCCAGCGCGGATCCGAGAAACCCGCGCGGGGCGCCAAGAGTTATGTTTATGGCGTTTTTTCTGCTTCGACTGCAGGCTGGTGGCTCCGTCGCGCCTCTGGGCCGGGGGCGCGCAAGCATGATGATGATGATGATGATGATGAGGAGGAGGAGGAGGAGGAGGAGGAGGAGGAGGAGGATGAGGAGAAGGAGGAAGAGGAGGAGGAGGAGGAGAACGAGGAGGAGGAGTAGGAGGAGGAGGAGGAGGACAAGGATGAGGATGAGGATGATGATGATGAGGAGGAGGAGGAGGAGGACAAGGATGAGGATGAGGACGAGGACGAGGATGAGGATGAGGAGGAGGAGGAGGAGGAGGAGGAGGAGGAGGAGGAGGAGGAGCCTCGTGGGTGCCAATATTTCTTCGGCACCTGGGGCGGGGCCTGCGGATCCACGGCCACGGGCGAGCTCGTCTCGCTCGGAGAGCCCTGCGTTGCAGGCCCCGTCTCTGCGCACTCGAATTCAAGGGCAATGCGAAGGCAAGTTGCCATGTTTCAAAGAAGGAAAAACGCCATGAGCATAAACTGTTGGCGCTCCTCGCGGATTTCTCGGATCCGCGCTGGGGCCCCTGGCGGCGCCTCCGGCGCCGCCCCTGGCGCGCTCCGCGCGCCAGGGAGGCCGCGCGGAGCGCCAAAAGTTTATGTTTATGTCCTTTTCTTCTTCTTCTAATCTTGCATGATCATGACCGTTGTCTCTGCGCGGTGTGTCTGCGGTACCATCGTATGGTCGCGAGTTGCGTTGGACAACCTCCTAATACCCGGTGCTGCACCGTGATGTTCGGGATATTTCAGGCATTGTTATTTTGGTCGCCGCGCTGACGAGTAGCTGCGATACTGTCCTCTGGTGGAAAAAGCGGATGTTCAAACTTGGAAGCTGTATTTGAGTTATGACGATTGCGGGGTAAATCGCCACATGCGCATTTGGGACGTGTGAACAGACAACGTCAAAGAGGACGACGAAGAAGAGTGTGGAGGAGGAGATGGATGAATTGAGGAAGACGATGAGGAGGAAAAGGAGGAGGAGGGGGAGGATGATGAAAGAGGAGGAGGAGGAAGTGGGAATCATATTTGAAACCGGGCAGCGGTGACGAATACTTGGACCAACGGGCGATGCGCATGCACGGGCAGTCACACATTCTGCATCTCAAGTTCAAGTAAGCATGGCGCACTGGAAAGTATCGCCATCTGATTGCGAGGGTGCCCACAGCGTTCCAGAGGTCCGCGAACGTCTTGGAGGCAGGTGCCGAGATCGAGAATGAGGTGGGGACGAGCCCGAAAGAGAGAGAGAGAGAGAGAGATCGACAGAGAGGCGCCGAGTGCGGACAGGATCCGTGAAGGCGCCGTCCTACCAGCGGCAACGCGCGCCCGTCGCTGTTCTTCGGGTCGGGAGCAAGGCCACAGATCCTCCTCCTCCTCCTCCTCAAGCCCGAGGCGCTCTTGGCGTATGCGCGGGGCGCACGGCAGACGAAACGACCACGGCGGGCCGCCCCGGAGCAGCACCAGCGGTGCAGCAGGCCGCGGGCAGCGAGAAGCAGACACCACCCGGAGTGCCCTTGGCGGAAGCACGAGGTGACGCATCCATTTAGTTATGTTTTCAGGGAGTGATTGTTTGGTCAAAAGACTGTGCATCGATATGTAAATCGGAGGTTGGGGGGTGAGTCCGACGTGAAACGGAGACCCCAAATCGATTTCGGTTTCGGGTTCGTGTCGTGCGTGCCGTGCGTGCGTGCGGGCGAGGCGAAGCTGCGTGGGCGGGCGAGAGGAAATCCTCCTGTGGCTGGGCCGCGGCTGGACCAAATATTTCTCCCCCGGCGGCTGGTGGCCCGCGGTGTCCCGCCGGTGTCCCGCTGGTGTCCCGAAATCCTCCTGTGGCTGGGCCGCGGCCGGACCAGATGTTTCTCCTCTGGCGGCCTGTGGCCCTCGATGTCCCGCCAGTGTCCCGTGGTGTCCCGTGGTGTCCCGTTGAGTGAGATCGATCGTGAGATCTATAGTGAGATCGATACTGAGATCGATGTGGTGCCCCGAGGTGTCCCGTGGTATCCCGTGGTGTCCCGTTGAGTGAGACCGATAGTGAGATCGATAGTGAGATCGACAGGTTTTTTCCCGTGGTGTCCCGTGGTGTCCCGTTGAGTGAGATCGATAGTGAGATCGATACTGAGATCGATGTGGTGCCCCGAGGTGTCCCGTGGTGTCCCGTGGTGTCCCGCTGAGTGAGATCGATAGTGAGATCGACAGGTGTCCCGAGGTGTCCCGTGGTGTCCCGTTGAGTGAGATCGATAGTGTGATCGATCGTGAGATCGATAGTGAGATCGATGTGGTGTCCCGAGGTGTCCCGTGGTGTCCTATGGTGCCCCGCTGAGTGAGATCGATAGTGAGATCGATAGTGAGACCGATAGTGAGATCGAGAGATGTCCCGCGTTGTCCCGTGGTGTCCCGCGGTGTCCCGCGGTGTCCCGTGGTGTCCCGTGGTGTCCCGTGGTGTCCCGTGGTGTCCCGTTGAGTGAGATCGATAGTGAGATCGACAAGTGTCCCGTGGTATCCCGTGGTGTCCCGTGGTGTCCCGTTGAGTGAGATCGATAGTGAGATCGATTGAGTCAGATGTTGGTCCCCCCCCCCTCTCCCCCCCCACAACCTCCTTATCACCCGAAGGGTGGTCGTATAGGTATGTATATTCACAGATGTTACATGTATACATAGGGAGAGAGAGAGAGAGAGAGAGATTGGGAAGGACTCGCAGGTTCAAGAAGAAGTCTGAGTGTGTCTGTGGGGTAGAGTCCGTTTCGTCAATTCCCCCTTCACCCACTGTGCGGATAGAGAGGAGATCTACGCCACTGTAAGGGATGGGAGGGAGGGGTAGGACGTCAGATATGACGCGAGCGCACCTAGCTTGTGTCCTTCTCCTCCCTCTCCTCGTATCCCTCTCCCATCCGTACCTTCCTCGTAGCCTCCCCTGCCATCCATCCTCTCCTGCCCTCCTCATCCTCCCTCCCCTTCCCCACCCCCTCTCCTATCCTTCCTCCCCCTCCCCCCCACGCCTCACTGTGTTCGCGTGAGTCGAGCGTGCAGCCTCATCCCTTTCTTTCGTGTTACGCCGGCCTTGCTCCCATTTCCATCTACGTTCCCTTCCCTCCCTCCCCTCTGTTCCTCTCCTTCCCCTCCCCCCTTCTCCCTGTCCCTCTCCCTACTTGTTCTCCCGCCCCTCCCCCCCTGCCTGCACTCCCAGCGAAAGCTGGGTTTGGGGAGCCGAGGCCGCCTCCTCCCCTATGATGATGTTGCTGATGAAGATGATGCTGCTGATGATGATGGTGATGATGATGCTGCTGATGATGATGCTGATGATGATGCTGCTGCTGATGATGATGATGAGGAGGAGGAGGAGGTGGAGGCGGAGGTTGAGGAGGAGGTGGAGGAGGAAGAGAAGGAGGAGGAGGAGGTGGAGGAGGAGGAGGAGGAGGTTGAGGAGGAGGTGGAGGCTGAGGAAGTGGAGGAGGAGGAGGTGGAGGAGGAGGAGGCGGAAAAGGCGGATGAGGAGGAGGAGGAGGAGGAGGAGGAGGAGGAGGAGGAAGAGGAGGAGGAACGAGGAGGCTGCGGAGGAGGAGGCGGAGGAGGAGGAAGGAGGAGTAGGAGGCGGAGGAGGAAGCGGAGGAGGAGGAGGCGGAGAAGGATGATGATGATGATGATGATGATGATGATGATGATGATGATGATGATGATGATGATGATGATGATGATGATGATGATGATGATGATGATGATGATGCTGTGATGATGCTGCTGCTGCTGATGATGATGATGATGATGATGATGATGCTGCTGATGATGATGATGATGATGCCAATGCTGATGCTGATGCTGATGCTGCTGATGATGCTGATGCTGATGATGATGTTCATGATGATGCTGCTGATGATGATGATGCTGATGATGATGATTATGATGCTGATGATGATGATCATGATGAAGAGGATGATGATGATGCTGCTGATGATGATTCTGATGATTCTGATGATGATGATGATGATGATGCTGATGATGATGATGATGATGATGATACTGATGATGGTGACGATGCTGATGATGCTGTTGATGATGATGATGATGATGAGGATGATGATGCTGATGCTGATGCTGATGCTGATGCTGATGATGATGATGATGATGATGATGATGATGATGATGATGATGATGATGTATGATGATGATGATGATGATGATGATGATGTATGATGATGATGATGATGATGATGATGATGATGATGATGATGATGATGATGATGATGATGATGATGATGATGATGATCATGATGATGATGCTGATGATGATGATGATGATGATGATGATGCTGATGCTGAGGCTTGATGCTGATGTGATGCTGCTGTGCTGATGAATGTGATGATGATGATGATGATGAGGAGCGAGTAGGAGAGGAGGAGGAGGAGGTGGATGAGGATGAGGATGAGGATGAGGTTGGATGAGCAAACAATGGGACGATAAAGAGGACAAGATGATGATGATGATGATGTGAGATGATGTGATGATGATGATGATGATGATGATGATGATGATGCTGATGTGATGATGATGATGATGATCTGATGATGATGATAGATCGATGATGATGATTGTTGATATGATGATGATGATGATGTGAATGATGCTGTTGATGATGATGATGATGCTGTTGATGATGATGATGATGATGATGATGATGATGACGAGGAGGAGGAGGAGGAGGAGGGGAGGAGGAGGATGGAGGAGGAGGAGGAGGAGGAGGAGGAGGAGGGAGGGGGGGCAGGAGAGGAGGAGGAGGAGGAGGAGGAGGGAGGAGTAGGAGGAAGGAGGCGGAGGAGAGGGCAGGAGGGGCAGGAGGGGAGGAGGAGGAGGAGGAGGAGGAGGAGGAGGAGAGGAGGAGGAGGAGGGAGGAGGAGGAGGAGGAGGAGGAGGAGGAGAGGGCGGGAGGAGGAGGAGGAGGAGGAGGGGATGGAGGAGGAGGAGGAGGAGGAAGGAGGAGGAGGAGGAGGAGGGGCAGGAGGAGGAGAGAGGGGAGGTTTGGAGGCGGAGGGATGGAGGAGGAGGAGGAGGAGGAGGAGGAGGAGGAGAGGTGGAGGAGGGGGGCAGTAGGAGAAGAGGAGGAGGAGGAGGAGTGGAGGCAGGAGGAGGAGGAGTCGAGAGAGGAGGAGGGGGGAGGAGGAGGAGGAGGAGGGCGGAGGGGAGGAGGAGTAGGAGGAGGAGGTAGAGGAGGAGGAGGATGGAGGAGGAGGAGGAGGAGGAGGAGGGGAGGAGGAGGAGGAGGAGGAGGAGGAGGAGGCGGAGGAGGAGGAGGACGAGGAGGAGGAGGCGGACGAGGAGGAGGAGGAGGAGCAGGTGCTTTCAAGGGGGCCTTTCGGTTGGCCATTTGTGGATCTGCATTGCGTTCCGCCTACCAAATCCGACGCTCGGCTTCACCCTTCCCCGTGGATCAAGCTGGTTTCGTATGTATTTATATGCTTTAAATGGTTTCGAATGATTTCAAGTGTTTTTTCTTGATTCTGAATGATTGCCACAGGATGTGAACGATTTCGAACGATTTCGCCTGATTCGACTGGTTTTGGATTATTTCGAATGATGCTGTATGTCATTCGATAGTTTTGCACGATTTTGAATGATTTTGCATGGTTCGAATAATTCTTGCACGCTCTAAACATATTCCATATGTTTTCCATGGAAACAAACAAATTTGTTAAACCCCCGCGCGCCTGGGTCGAAATCGCTAGAAAAAGAAGCTCGGGCGGCGCCCGAGCATCCAAAAACTATATCTGATCACCACTTTGGCGCCGGAAGCCTCCACAGAGCCGCGCGCATTGACGCCGCCGCGCCCGAGCCTGCCCGGGCAGTGCCCGAGCCTGCCCAGGCAGTGCCCGAGCCTGCCCGGGCAATGCCCGAGCTTGCCCGGGCATTGCCCGAGCCGGCCCGGGCAGTGCCCGAGCCGGCCGGCCCGGGCAGTGCCCGAGCCGGCCCGGGCAGTGCCCGAGCCTGCCCGGGCAGTGCCCGAGCCTGCCCGGGCAGCGCCCGAGCCTGCCCGAGCCAGCCAAGAGAGCCCAGCCAGCCGCCCCATGCCCGACATTCCAAAATACGATTGCCCCGAGCCGCCCGAGCCGCTTCTGCGCAACATCACGCGGAAATGATCTGGAATCGCCAGGCAACTTCAATTTTGTATACGCACAGCATGAAGAGGATTCAAAGTCAAACAAACATTAGAAACAATCGAAGTTAAAACAAAAAACAATGGAACATCACAGGAAACACGTATACAAAAACATAAGAACACATGGGAATCAAATGACATCGGAAAAAAAAACATTGAAGAAACAATGGGAAACGATGACAATCATTGAAAACTATGAAAATCAGTGAAAAACAGCGCGCGTAGAAAAAACAATCAAAAACTGTTGAAAATCAATGGCGAAAAGGCCCCTCGGCAAAAAAGTTGTAAATCTAGCATTTGGCTAAAACATTGAATCGTGCTCTCGAAAAATCCCTAAGTACCCCGCGATAAATTCTGCCATCTCTCAGGTCTGGCACCGCGGATTTGCAGGGCGCAAAAGAAGTCCCACCAGCCCTCGCCTACCAAATCCGATGTCCGACCTCCGCGTGTCGTCGTCTCGGCTTCACCCTTCCCCGAAGTCGTTTCTTCTTGACAGTTTTCGTTTCGTTTCAGTTCGCTCGCTTCGTTCTCGTCCGAGTCGCGCGCAGACGCACCCTCGGCGCCGAGACTGGGAGTCCAAAAGGCCACCCTTGCAACGTTACAAGGAGGAGGCGGAGGCGGAGGAGGAGGAGGAGGAGGAGGAGGAGGAGGAGGAGGAGGAGGAGGAGGAGGAGGAGGGAGAGGAGGGAGGAGGAGGAGGAGGAGGAGGAGGAGGAGGAGGAGGCGGGAGGAGGCGGAGGCGGAGAGGCGGATTCGGAGCAGAGTGAGGAGGACCAGGCAGCCGTGGGCTCCCCCTGGAGGCCCCGGGCCTCGGGGGCCTCCGCCACTGCAGGTGGAGCGACCTGCCGTTCGTGCAGCAGTCCAGCCAGCAGATCGCCTCACTGGTGCTGCTCGTTATCAATTCCGTGCTGCTGCCGGAGCGAGGGGCTCTGGGGCCGCCGATTGGAGCAGGATGACGAGACGGGAGGAGGAGGAAAGATGAGGAGGGAGGAGGAGGAGGGGGGAGGGAGGAGGAGGACGAGTAGGATGAGGAGGAGAAGGAGGAGGGAGGGAGGAGGAGGAAGAGGAGCGGGGGCGGGAGGAAAGGGGTGGGAAGGAGGAAGGAGGGATGTGCAAAATGGATGAGGATGTTCATGGCGATGATGCTGCTGCTGCTGTGGATGATGTGGTCGTTGTTGTTGATGATGGTGTTGGTGATGCTGACACTGATGCTGATGATTCACAGTATGATGGTGATGATGGCTGATGATGATGCTGATGCTGATGCCGATGGTGATGATGGCTGTGATGATGACGATGAGGAGAATGATCGTGCTGCTGCTGCTGACGATGATGCTGCTGATGCTGATGCTGGTGCTGATGTTGGTGATGCTGATCCTGATGCTGATTCCGCTGGTGGTGATGATGATGATGACGACGGTGATGCTGCTGCTGATGATGATGACGATGCGGCTGCCGATGATGCTGATGATGGTGAATATGATGATGATGATGGTGGTGGTGATGGCGATGACGCTGCTGCTGCTGAGGATGCTAATCATGATGACTGGGATGTTGACGATAAGGTGGCCGATACTGATGATGACGATGCTGATCCTGATGATGCTGATGATGATGAAGAAGAAGAGGCGGCTGCTTCTGCTGCTGGTGATAATGCTGTTGAAGATGCTGCTGCTGTTGTTGTTGCTGTTGCTATTGGCGATGATGCTGGTGATGATGATGATGATGATGATGATGATGATGATGACGATGACGTTGTTGATGAGGATGATGATGATGATGATGATGATGATGATGATGATGATGATGATGATGATGATGATGATGATGATTGTTACGCTACTGATGATGAGGCTTACGATAGCGATGGTCGCGGTGGTGATGTTGGTGCTGAGGGTGATGATGGGGATGATGCTGCTGCTGCTGATGATGATGATGATGATGATGATGATGATGATGAGGAGGAGGAGGAGGAGGAGGAGGAGGAGGAGGAGGAGGAGGAGGCTGACCAGTGCAAACCCAAGACTCAGCAACGATATTGTCATAAGCCCTCCCGTCAAGTTCCCTCCTCACAGGCCCCTACAAGGAATCATTTTCACTGAGGGAAGTGCCCCGTTAGAAAATAACCGTTTGAAGATCTTGAGCTGTGCCAGAATGCCATTCCTGGGACTACAACGCCGCGAGTCACAGCTACTGTTGCGTCTTGACGATCCAGAATCGTGCCAGACCCATTTCTGGGACTTCAGCACCACAAATCAAAGTCACTGCTGCGCCCTGGCAATCCGACGTCGCGCCAAAACAAGAAAGCGCGCCAGTGGATGACTCTGAATACACAAGGGGGGGTGTGCTCGCAGAACCCCCCCCCCTCTCCCCCCGTTCAAAGGGGGGGTGAGATTTTCGACCCCCCCCTCCTCCCCCCCTTACGGGGGGGGCGTTCCGAAGGGGGGGGGGTCCGGACCCCCCCCCTCCCCCCCTCCCCCCTTTGCGCCGAACAGGGGGCCGGGGAGGGGGCCTCTCCTGCAAGGGGGGGGGTCTGGCCTCGGGATAGGGGGTGGTGAATAGTGAGTAGAGACTAGTGAGTAGTAAGTAGTGAGTAGCGAGTAGTGAGTAGTGAATAGTGAGTAGTGAGTAGATAGTAGCGCGTAGTGAGGAGTGAGTAGTGAGTATTGAGTAGTGAGTAGGGAGTAGTGCGCAGTGAGTAGTGAGTAGTGAGTAGTGTGTGGTGAGTAGTGAGTAGTGGGTAGTGGGGAGTGGGTAGTGAGTAGTGAGTAGCGAGTAGGGAATAGCGAGTAGTGAATAGTGAGTAGCGAGTAGGGCAGTGTGAGTAGTGAGACATGAGGAGGGAGTAGCCAGTAGAGAGTAGTGAGTAGGGAGTCGTGAGTAGGGAGTAGTGAGTAGGGAGTAGGGAGTAGCGAGTAGTGAGTGGTGAGTAGTGAGTAGTGGGTAGTGGGGAGTGGGTAGTGAGTAGTAAGTAGCGAGTAGGGGGTAGTGAGTCCGCTTGGGCAAGAAAGCGTGCAGTGTAGGGCGGTACATAATGGAGAGGGAGTGGAACGGGAGAGGGGGGCGACAAGCTAGGAGCGCCCGCGCCACATCTGACATCTTATACCTCCCTCCTATCCCTTCCCATTGCGCTGGTTTGTTCTCTGTCCGCAGATGCGTGTCATGGCCAACCTGGAACTCCACATAATACTCCATCATGTTATACACAATCGGAACAGGGGAGCTGCGTACATATGAGGGGGAGCTGGCGGGCGAGCAGGAAGATGAGCAGGAGGACGCGGATGATGAAGGAGGAGGACGAGGACGAATAGCAGCAGCAGCAGCAGGAACTGGAGTGGAATGAGCGGGAGGAGCAGGAGGACCAGGGGAAGGCAGAGGACATTGATGAACAAGACCTCGGATCCAGAAAGTGGCCCGCGTTGGGGCGAGAGCGCCATTCTGAACGACGGGAGCAAAGCGCCGATCCGAAAACGAGGCCCACGCTGCAACGGGAACACCGTTTTGAAACACCGGAAATCATTGGATAATAAACGCCATCAGAAAATCAGCCTGTGACATCCTGTGTGTGTGTGTGTGACAAACAGTACTCGGAGAGGGGGCTGAGAAATTTCCGCACAGAGTGAGGGGAGAGATGGGAGTATGATTCATTTTGTGTAATCGTGGAAGGCAGGGGGGCTGCATGGAATACGCGAGAGCACCAGACTGGAACGCAGCGGCCCGCGAGGAGCTTATTCATCGGATGGCCTCCGCCGTCAGGGAGCACAGGCACTCCAGGGCGGAGATACTCCAGCTTCACCTGAATTTTGTTTTTCTTGGAATCAACACCTTGCTTATCCCCCTGACGGGCTACAGCATTATCGAGATCGCGAAAGTCTATTTCCAGCATCCCTTCCGGAATGCTTGGTGGCAGGAGGGGCGATGGGGACACCTGGTGTGAGATGGGGACTGGCAAGGCGGGAAGCGCCAGGCCAAACGACATACAAATGCGCCGCTATCTGGGCACGGGGCGATGTGTTTGGGCACGGGAGCGACGCCCACCACCTGCCTGGGGATGGCAGGGAGGGGGGCCTGGCCAGCCTTCTGACACATCGCTCGGCATCGCTCGGACGTGTGCATTTTCTCTTGCCTAGGACCGTCGATGGGGCATCTGGGATCATCGTGCGAAACAAATGCACGCACGAGACCCAACAAGTGCACAGGGAATGGACGTCCGAGCGGTGGCGAGATCCGGAAGCTTTCTCTCGCGCCAGCCCGCTTTCGCCGTCGCTCTTCCGCCTGGAGGCAGCCTGGGTTCCCTTTCCTCCGATCGTCCGTCTGTGCCTGCGTCCTCGTGGCCTCCAAGTGCTCTCGATGACCCTCCTCGCTGATGTCGCGAGGTTTCGCGGCGTGGGCCGCTCGAGCTCTCGCTCCCATCCCCCTTGGCTTCGGGTCTGTCTGTGGATGCGGGGATGGGCGAGCGCGGGGTCCCCGCTGTCGGCGTTGGCGCGTAGGCCTGTGCTGTTGTAGTGTTTGCTGTTTTGAGACATGTGGATCGCAGGGGAACTATGCAGGAAACTTGAGTGACTCATACGGGGTGCGGGAGGGATCCTTAGAGAATCTTCCGGGAATCCCAGAAGATTCTAACGAAAGCCTTCGCACGCCTGGGAGAGTGTTGAAGATCCTTGTGGGAATCCTGGGAAATCCTTGAGGGATCACTACGTGGTCTGAAGGAGCCACCAAACAGTCGATAGAGCATTTGGACGATATCTTTCAAGAACTGCTGGGTATCCTTAAGGCTTTAGGAAGCTGTCAGGACCTGATGGAACCATGGTGAGTCCTGAGGCAAGTTGCGTGTCCTGAGTGAACATCATGGAACGCCATATAATATATCATCCGCCTTGTGGAGACACAGAGACATCCTAACAAACTTTCGTGGGATCTTGAGCATGGCATCCTGAAGGAGACCTGAGGAAATTACCTAGGAGATCTTCTGCCCAGCCCGCCACCGTGCCTGGGTTGTAGGTCAGAGGCCTCTTGGATGCTTGTGGAGATCTCTTGGGAGGGGCTTCTCGGAAGCCTCTTGGAGGCGATTTTGTGGTGTCTTGGGGGCCTCTCGGGGGCCTCTCGGGGGCCTCTTGGGGCCTGATTTGGAGCTCTTTGGGGCCTCCTGGGGCTTCTGGGGGGCCTTCTGGGGGCCTGCTGGCGGTCTTGGGGATCATCTTGGGGCGAAGGGCTCGAAAGGGGTCATCTTGTGGCCCTGTTGTGCCACCTTGGAAGCCTCTTAGACCGTCTTGGGGCTCTCTTGGGTCGCGAGGCCCTCTTAGGGGGCCTCTCGGGCCGTCTTAGAGCGTCGGAAGGCCGACAAGGCGAGAACTCTAACATCCGTCAGCATTCCACGGAACATCAACGATGTTCGCCTTCTGGGGCCATTTATGGATGCTTCTTGAGGCCTCTGGGAACGTCTTGGTGGCCTCGTGGGGCCGTCTTGCGGCCATCTTGGACATCTCGGAGCGCTCTTGGGCCGTCTCGGGACCATCTTGAACCGTCTCAAGGGCATGTCGGAGCCCTCTTGGCTTGTTTTGGGGCCCTCTTGCCTCCACGAAAGTCTAGCGACAACGCGCGGGGACGCGGCACGCCCCACGAAACACGTAACTTTTGGGACGTGAGTCCCGCTGAGTGGAGCCAGAGGGTTGCGCACGCGCGAGTTTCTTTCTCGTGGGTCGTGCCTTGTTGCACTTTTCTTCTCCTAGGAGCCGCGTGCTGTCGGCGTCGGTAGGTTCGGCCACGCTCGCAGGACAGCCTGCCAACATTTTGCCTGCTTGCAGTGCCCAACTTGTTGTCGCCATCCTCTATCTTTGCCTGCTATGCTCCTTCTCCCCCCCTTTGCCGTTTGCAGCAACGACGCCGCCCACTCGGTGTGCTGCCAATCTCACACTTTATGCTTCTCCTCTTCGGCATGCTCTGGCATGGTGGGGCCCCCTCCCACCAGTTGGGAAGCTGGCAGTTTTCAGCATCGAAGTCCGATCATGATGGAACGACGGTCAGACGTCAATGCTGAATCCTTGGAGCATTTTTGCTGATCATTATGCTTGACCAGATGATGCTTCTTCAATCATCAATGCTGAATCATTGAATCAGGGATGTTGCTGATCATGATGGGTTGATCATTGGGGCCCGACCCCCTAAATCTTCAACCCTCAGGGCTGAGGACGGCAGGCCCAAGGGATCTGAGGACAGTCCAACTTGTGCATCGCGGCACGGTGGCGGATATTGAGAACCCACGAGGAAATCAGACATACCCCCTAGGGAACCCTAGGGTTCTCCACATGGCCTTTTCCAGGTCTGGAGACGATTGGTGCGGGCATGTCCGTTTTGGCGCGACCTTTGCGCAACCTTCGAGCGAGCTCTGCGCGGGCATTGCAGCCGCGACAGCTTGCCAGTAAGCTGTTCCAGGGATTCGGTGGCATGTGTGCCATGCCAGAAACAGGTCAGACGTATGAGTTAACGATCGAATATACGGCGCGCTGCAGAGTCAGACAATACATTGAGACTTGTGTGAACGCATCACTGTTGGGCCGTATGGGGTGGGAATAAAGAATGACATGCTGATTTCGGGGAAGTCCAACAACGATCTGTCCGACTCGCTCCAGAGTGAACATGCTACCTGGGACCTGAGCGACGAAGTTGCGGTCGTCTGTAGTTGACCCAGAACATAGCAAACAGCTGGAGGCTGGTGAGAAAGTGCATTGCGTGGCCATTCATTGGCAGGATTGTTTTCGGGAGGCCGTCAGATTGACGCGGTTGCACATGCGTTGCTGCATATGTCCTCGCGGCTTGTTTCCAGAACTTTCGTTGCAAAGCATCCGCGCTGCGCCATGCATTGCAAGGTGTAGCAAATCTGTCGGGCACCGATGTATACGTGCACCGAGTGGCTCCAAGCGGATGCAGGGCTGCGCTCCAGCTTCTCGCTGGCATAAGGGGTCAGCACGACCTGGACTCCCGTCGAAGCTTTCAGAAGACGTTGCGATTCCACCGACGGCACAGCCGAAACAGTGACGAGGAAGTGGCGTATTTCCACTAAAGCAACACAGACGGACGGTATGCACTGGAACGCCAGCTGCTCTGGTCGACTTTAGAGCCATACCAAGAGAGATTGCTGAATGTGGCGGGGAGGCGAACAACGAGTCGCTTCTCGGTTGGGCCTGGCTCCAGATCGGCGAGGGATGCGCGTTTCATACGTTCCACCTGCGCGCGCTTACCTTCCTTACCTTCGACGACGACGAAGGGAAGGGGGAGGGGAAGGCGGAGGAGGAGGAGGAGGAGGAGGAGGAGGAGGAGGAGGAGGAGGAGGAGGAGGAGGAGGAGGAGGAGGAGGAGGAGGAGAGGAGAGGAGCGGAGGAGGAGGGAGCGGGGAGGAGGAGGAGGAGGAGGAGGAGGAGGAGGAGGAGGAGGAGGAGGAGGAGGAGGAGGAGGAGGAGGAGGAGGAGAGGAGGAGGAGGAGGAGGAGGAGGAGGTGGAGGAGGAGGAGGAGGAGGAGGAGGCGGAGGAGGCGGAGGCGGAGGAGGCGGAGGAGGAGGAGGAGGAGGAGGAGGAGGAGGGAGGAGGAGGAGAGGAGGAGGAGGAGGAGGAGGAGGAGGAGGAGGAGTGGAAAAGTGACGTGGGAAATCGGAGGGTCGGACCATTTTGTGGGCGTGGGTATCGTGGGAAATGCGTTAGAGGAGGGCACACCACGTCATACTGCAGCTGACCTGCTAAGCACCCAAGGGCCTGCGGCAACCCCCGCCACCGTGCCAGCACAGCGTCGGACAGTGGGCACACCAGATTAGAAGTTAGTCTGCCAACCGAGGCCCCTCTGAGTTTCCTTGTTCACCGACGTCCCTGGCGCCCGTCAGCTCTGGGGGCGAGGTCCAAGGTCGACCGAGCAGTGTGCCCCTGTGCTTCTTACAGCAAGATGTCTCACCACATGTATCTGCCGTGTCTGTTCGTGGTGGTTCCGCCGAGCTCTCCCAGGCAGGCTCGGTCTCCTCTGCCATTCTGTTCCTCGCCCCCCTTCCTCCTCGTCTTGGCTGTGCCACCTGATGTGGGACATGCGCGAACCTTGTCGGAGGTTGTGTGTCCGCGGGGAACAAATCCTTGAGCCCTTGGGGGCCGTCTGGAAGGCAGCGCTTCGCTGCCGCAGCCTGCTGCCTGCGGTCCTCCCATGGTGCGCCGCCGGGGGGGCCCCTCGGATGCCTCTGGAGCTACCCCTCCTGGGCCTGCTGGTGGCCCAGGGGCCGTCTCGGGTGCGCTGGTGCTGCCGAGCCCTCCCTCAAAGGAGGAAGAGGTACCCATACGGCTGCCCTTCTGTTGTTTTCCCCCTCTCGGGCCTTCTGGGAGGCCCTCGTCGCCACTGCTGGATTCGCCTCGAGATTCTGAGCAGAACGCGCCCCGGGAGAGGTCTGGGGAGTGGCGGTGTCGAGGATCGGCTGAGCCATCTCGGGCGCGGTCTAGACGGGCTTTTGGGCTTTCGTGGGGCCCTCCTGGGGCGGTCTTGGGCCCGTTCAGAGGGGGTCTCGGACTGGCTCGGGGGCGTTGTTGGGGCCATCTTGCGGGCTTCGTGGGGCCTTCTCCTGGTCTTTAGGCGCATGCTTTGGCTCGGACAGGTCTTTAGATTTTTTTTAGGCTCGGATGGAGGCCCTCAGATCTGCTCTCGCGGAAGTCTTGGGAGCTCTCTCGGAGCGCTGCTTTGGCTGTCGTAGGGGGGCGACCTCTTGGGCATCTGTTGTCCAGGCGCGGGGGCGCCTCCTGAAATCGTTGGCGGCGCGCACAAGGGGGTAGGGGGAGGGGGGACGGCTTCTTAGAAGGAGGCTGCTTCTGAGGAGGCGCGGGCCTTCCATCGATAGAGAAGGCCCGCGCCTTCTAAGAAGCAGGGGTGCTTCTAAGAAGCCTTCCCCCCATCCCCCTGCCCCCCTCGGCGCGTGGTCGGAAACGGCAGAAGTCATCTCGGGCAGCATCTTTGCCTTTCTCCGCGCCCCAGAGGACCGAGGGCACTGGGGTGAACCTTTGCCACACGGTGAGTGCATTGGTGGCACTTGGCCCATGCAGTCACCCGTCTAGTAAGGAGGGGCAACCTTCCCAAGGGTGCCCTTGCATCCTTGTCTCCTCTGTCCATCCTTGGCTACTTTTGCTGGCCGCGCCCCGCCCGCGAGGTGTAGACATGTCCTTCCAAGGCCCCTGCATTCTTGTTGCGCGTCCTTATGATAAGGGTCGACTGTGCAGTACAAGAGCAGATGTGCAGTTCAGGCGCAGACGAGTTGCAGTGGCAGGGTCCAAAAGGAAGAAGAGCTCGAGTTTGCGCGTCAGTGGACAGACAGTGGGATGCTCCTTTCGATACGTGTCTTTCTCTGGCGTGCCCTTTGCATGAAGGCGCACTCTGTGGGGCTTTGTTTCTCCACGATGGTCTTCGTGGTCCCTCCAGACACTTATCTTGTTTTGTATGCCACTTTCTTCGTGGCGCTGCACTTGGGAGGCTCTCTCATGGTAAGCCCTTGTCAGATCGCGCCCCGCTTACAGTGGCTCTTTCCTCCTGGGCGATCATTGCAGAGTGAGCCTGCAATGCTATGCCTGCCTTGCTTTCACTGACGGAACGCTCCTTGCAGTTTGATATTGCCAGTACAGGCGAGCCAAGCACAGGAGCAATCACAAGCGACGGCATGATAGAGTGACACACTGTAGAACTGTCAGCAGATCGAATGACACATGAAAGCCATGATGGCTTCAGTGCAGCGCTCGTTGCGTTTTAGCTTGCCCCACTTCAGGAGGCTGCGTAGATGATCGGTTGCCTCTCCAGGGCGCACCCACCATGGTGGTTCCTTTACTTGGGAAGCGACACCTGGCATGGGCGAGCAACCGTAATGGTCTCTTCTTTGAGGTGGTCCGCCCGCGGCGGTGATTTATCCATCACCACCGCTTGGGGGGTCGATCTTCGCAGACCTACACGGGCGGTGAATATGGATATGTGTATATATATATACATATATCTATATAGATTCGGCCCCTCGGGGGCCAGAATCTGTCCATATCCACCGCCCGCTCGAACACCGGGACGTCGGCTCCCAGGCGGTGGATATGGACAACTCCCCGCCTCGCAGTCCGTACCCGTTTTGGTTCAGGCCGCCCCATGTCCGAGCACCGCGTGCTGCGGTCAGGCCCGTGGCCCCTCGGCACGCGCGGGGTGGGCGACGACGATGTTGGCGTGCTGCTGCGCCGCGGGGCCCACCTCTAGCGCGGAGGTGGTGCAGACTCAGGCCGTGCTGGGCGGAGAGGATGGGCCTGGCCTGGCACTGCCAGACCTTAGAGAAACGTTCGGCAAGCAGCTGGAGAGGATGAAAGAGGAGCTCGCGGACGACCAGTCGGTGTTGAACGAGCCCAGGAGTAGGCAGTTCATCAGGGAGGAGCACTTCCCGCGGTGGTGCCCGCGCACGGCCGAGGATTCTGTAGATTGCCAGATCGGCGCTGGCGCCCCAGGGATCGGGCACATGAAGCTTCCAGTTTTGTGCGACGTCGACAAGGGAAACGATGCATCGCCGGCCAAGATGGGCGCGGCGCATACCAGGGAGGAGCGCCTGAGCGCGCAGGTGCGCACCTTCGCCAGGAAGGCCAAGAAGGGCATCGCCGTCTACCTCTGCGACATGGAGAGCCTGCTGCTGTCCCAGTGCCTCTTCAGGATCGACGAGTCGGCGACCACGCTGACCCTCCGGACCGCGCTGGCCCAGGAGCAGGAGTTCAAGCTGAAGGACCTGAAGTCCGTCGTGAAGGGCGAGGCCTTCAAGAAGCGGCTGCCCCGCCTCGCCCACGCGAGCAGGGAGTGCCTCCTGCTGGTGTTCGGGGAAGCCTCGGAGGAGTCGCTGCAGTGCCTCTTCTTCGAGGACACGAGCGACCGCGACGAGTTTCATACCAGCTTGAAGGTCTTCCGAGTGATGGCCTCCCAGGGCACGGTGTAATGTATCCTAGACGCTTCGCGTAACCCCACCAGCCCATCCAGAAACGATGCCCAGACGAGTTGCCCTGATCAGGGATGTGGAGGAGCATACAGTGGAATCAAGGGCTGGGTAAGACGTCATACATCAAACGGGGCAGGGATGGAGGAGGAATCGGAGGAGCAGGAGGATGAGGAGGAGGATGATAATGCTACTGATGATGCTGATGATGACGGTGCTGCTGCTGCTGATGATGATGATGATTACGAGGAAGAGGAGGAATACTATGGTTATGATGACGATTATTATGATGTTGATGTTGATGTTGATGCTGATTCTGGTGATGATGTTGATGAGGATGAGGATAAGGATGAGGATGATGATGAGGATGAGGATGCGGATGAGGATGAGGATGCGGATACGGATGATGATGATGATGACGACGATGGTGATGATGATGCTGCTGGTGATGATGCTCCTGCTGATGATGATGACGATGAGGATGATGCTGATGATGATTATTCAGTTGATGCTGATGCTGATGCTGCTGATGCTGATGATGATGAGGCTGAGGATGAGGATGATGATGCTGCTGATGATGATGATGCTGATGATGATGATGATGATGATGATGCTGATGATCGTGATGATGATGCGGACGACGCTGCTGATGCTGATACTGATGATGATGATGATGATGATGATGATGATGATGATGAGGATGAGGATGATGATGTTGATGATGATGATGCTGATTACGATTATGATGATTATGGTGATGATGATGGTGATGATGATGGCGATGATGATGATGATGATGATGATGATGATGATGATGATGATGATGATGATGATGATGATGATGCTGATGCTGATGATGATGATGATGATGATGATGATGATGATGATGATGATGATAATGGTGGTGGAGGTGGTGGTGATGATGATGCTGCTGCTGTTGATGATGATTTGTATTATTTGTACTATCACACTCATTATTTTAGGTATGCGTGTTCTGCATATGATTGGTATCAGTATTGTCATTCGTTTTTCCCTTTATCGTTGTTTTTTTTCCCATGTAGTAGTAGTAGTAGTAGTAGTAGTAGTAGTAGTAGTAGTAGTAGTAGTAGTAGTAGTAGTAGTAGTAGTAGTAGTAGTAGTAGTAGGAGTAGTACTAGTAGTAGTAGCAGCAGCAGTAGTAGTAGTAGTAGTAGTAGTAGTAGTAGTAGTAGTAGTAGTAGTAGTAGTAGTAGTAGTAGTAGTTGTTGTTGTTGTTGTTG